CAAAGTCCGACCCTCGGCGCGCAAACGCGCTAATGATAATTACTGACCAACGAACTAACGGCTCTCTCTCTTGGCGGACCAATCGGAGGATGCTGCGGGATAGCAAAAGAAATAGAAAGAAGAATAAGATGTCGAAGGGTCGTCGTACCGAGTTACGAGAACGATTATACTTTTTTTTCCTATTTTCTTTCGGGATATTTCTCAGGTTCCTATATTAATTAGTAATTTCTTTTTTTTTCTTTTAAATGTCTATTATATAAATGAATTATTCACAAGGCAAATTTCGGTTTTAGAATGTTTTTCTTTTGTTTGCGTAAATTACGATGCGAAATTATTTGAGAGATTGATGTTTATATTTTTATAATTTAAAATAAATGTCGTATAATATAAATTTGTTTCGAGTTTACGTTTTAAGGTGGGGAAGGTGGGATTTATAATCGATTTGGCAAATGAATAAATCAAATATTCACGATTGAGAAGTAAAAATTGTACGAGAGAAAATGATAAAAGACGGTGTTTCATCAATTATATTATTATATTGAATGATTATAATTGAATTTTCTCTCTTCCGTCTTATATTGATTTTTTCTTTTTTCCATCTCACGTTCCCATATTTTGTCACCGAGGAGACACACAGATGTTGATTGTGTACCGTCATAGAGTCTAAATCATCGACTTATTCGACTATAAGTTGGTAACAGGACGGCTTTTACCCTCCGTCAAGCTCGTCAGAGATAATCGGCGTAATTTTTCCCCGACAACATTTATTCCTGACGACGAGGACGTTGCTTCCGGAAAATGAGCGATTCGTGTAAAAGAAAAAAAAAAAAGAAAAAGAAAGAAACAGTCGAGGCCCGATTCCCACGCGATACGGAATTACACACGTGGCTTCTGTTCGCTCATTAAAATCATATTTACCTCTTTCCTTATACCTTGAGACACACAACGACAAAGAGACAGCGACAACATGATGTCCATATCCGGATTGTCACGACGATGAGATAAAAGCATTCAATGAAACTGCACCTCTTCTACCGCGTCCTAAACGAAAGAAACTTTTCTTTCAGACGTGGTTTTACACCATCAGGTAGGTAGGAGGTTCGGCAACGATTCGTCATAATCATGAGAAAATCGAAGATAGAAATGATGATCTATCTAACGTTTTGCGATCATTGATTTTGTGCAAGAAAGAGAGGCCATTTATCAACTTGAAAAAGATAAAATAATTCTTTGGTCCATGAGGTTAAAAGAGAAAGAAGACGAAGACGAAGAAGAGGAAGAAGAAGAAGCAAAAGATGAAGGGAAAAGAATAGAAAGATGAGAAAGAGGAGAAGGAGGAGGAGGAGGAGGAGGAAGAAGAGGATGAGAAAAGCGAAAGAGAAGGTAGAAGAGAAAAAGCATAAAGCTGGATTCCACAGGAATAGGGCAAATAAGGGGCTCGAATCAAGGCCCTCGAATCAAGGATGGGGGATCGCATTCGTATGCAGTATGCATTCGGCGGAGATATTAAGGACAAAGCTAAGATTCCTGTCACCCTTCGCTCGCTTTCTTCGGACTTTAAAAAGGGAGCTTCAGCGGTGAAGAGACAGGGAGGTAACAGGTGGCGTGCGGGACTAAACGGACTCCTCTCTTCATCCCGAGTGCCTTCAAGCCACTTCGGCATCCTCCAACCCTCCCCTCCCTCCCCTTCCCTCCTCACCCCCTTCCTCATCCTCCCTGCAACGCCGGAGATCAAGACAAAAACTGGCTATCGAGCCATCCCGTCTGCTCTCGCAAACCTTTGCAGAATTTCTCTCTCTCTCTTTCTCTCTCTCCCTCTCTCTCTTTCTTTGTATCTTTCATTTTCTTTTCGTTGATTTGACTTAGACGATTACGTGTCACTTTTACGTCTCTTTTCTAAATTCTCGAATGTTGAATGAATATTTGGTATTTTATCTTCAATATATCATTTATTCGGTTTAATATATTTGATATTGTAATATGGGTAGGGTTGCATATTTATTATGATCGAAAATGTATAAAAATATTGATCCAATAAACAGGAAATCTTTTTTTTCTAACTTTTATTGAACATATGAAAAAGAGAAAAATATGTAAAGAACAAGACAAAGTATGATAGAAGAAAAAAGGTAAGAAGGAAGGAAGGAAGGAAGGAAGATTTGGTAGAATCGATTCTTTACGAAAGAGAGTGGATAAATTACAAAAGCAAAGGACGACTCGAGACGATTATTGCAGTAGTAGTATAGTAGACAGACAGACTAGTAATTACCGAGGTTTCTCTGAAAGCAAACGATACCTTTAACAACCGAATTTGCATCGAGATACCGATCAGACGGAGAGTGTAAAATAAGGATTCCTCGAAGTAAGAGAGACTACCCAACCCAACGGGAGGAGGAGATTTTAGATTTCCGTTGGGCAATTAGCGGTAATAACGACGTTGGTCTACGGTTTTCGAGTGGGATTGTATGTATTTCTCTTTCGATCGATGTTAATTGACATTGGTAGAGTCGAGTATAAATGCAGAAATCACTGAATTCAACCAAGGAAACATCAAGAAAGCAGAAAGAAAAAGAGAGAGAGAGAGAGAGAGAGAGAGAGAGAAAGAAAAAGGAGCAATCACCTGCCTTTTCTTTTTTCCTAACCGTCTAAAATTACCAAGCAAATTTTGTTTTCAAGGTTCGACATGGATTTGTAAACGGAATGGTTGCATACGGGGTGTTGTATTTTAATAGAAATTTTTGACGAAAATATTACGAAACATGTATAAACGTTGTTGTTAGAAATATCCGAGAATAAAACGGTGAAATCAATCGAGATTTTTAAACTTAATTAAATCCACGTGTGTATTTTGTAACATAAATTTCAAACATATTTTTCTTCAAAATAAAGACAATTTATTCGTAAAAATTCGTATGAACAAATTGTATTCTAGATGTTTTTATTTTACATACAATTAATTTTTCGTTCTTTGCTTGCTTGCACCACCAATTGCAGGACACCCAGTACATTTGATCGATCGATCTTCTCTTTCTCTTTTCATCCTTAACGTTAATTCGTCCTTCTCGTTCCACTTTGATATATATATATATATATCTATCTTTTTCTAAAGAGAGAAAGAAGCAGCACTTTGATGGAGGACATCTCGCCGCTAATTATGATTAATTTGCGAGAGCCCGCGGTCTTCGAAGCCAGCAAGCTAACCAACCAACCAACCAACCAACCAACCAGCCAGCCAGGAGTCACGTGAGAAAGAAAGAAAATGAAGGCGAAGAAGAGAAGCTGGAGAGGATCAACCACGAGAGAACGTAATTAATACTCTCAGCAGGAGCGCGTTGTAACGTCATGCGTACGTCATCCAGGTGACTCTTCTGTCGTTGTTCGTTTTCACCGTGAATTACCCTTTCTTATTTCTGACTGTTACTTTTGACTTTTGCCTATCGAGAACTATCCTCTCTTTCTCTCTCTCCTTCTCTTTCTTTCTTTTTCGATCTAACTCATTTTTTGTTTAAATACAAGTAACAAGTAAACGCATACATTTTACTCGAATAAGGATTCGGTAAAAGGATTTAAAAAGAATTGAAATAAATTTGATAGCTTTTCAATCCGTACAATTGACGAATGAAATATTTTCTCGATCGTACTAATTTAATTTATTTATATCTGTTTTTTTCTTTATTTCCTTTAGATACCAGTAGACGAACTTAGATAAAAGATAAATACGATTGACTCGAATAAAGAAGATGCAGATTTAATAGCTTCAAACCGAACCGAATTAACGAATCAAATGATCTCTCTCTCTTTCTCTCTAATTAATTTAACAAATTTTTTTTTATATACGAGAACAAAAATAGACAGAAAAAAATTGAAAGTAAATCTGTAAGAAGCATTTAACACTTTAGTAAGTAAGATAAAGAATTTGTAAAAGGATTTAGACGTAGAACTTCGATCCGAACGATTAACGAAAGAACGAACGATCCCGTACCCGCCTAGTAGCCAGAACCACCATAGCCACGGTGGATTTTAATAAACGGACGAGGCTGCTGGTGCTGCTGCGGAGGTGTTTCGCATGGTAGCTGGCAGGACGACGCGCCTCGAGAAGAGGTTAATCACCCGCGTTGGATTTTAATAAACGGTTCGAGGGCAAACAAAGCTGGCCATCAATAACCGTGGCTCTTTCTTTCTTTCTTTCTTTCTCTTCCCCTCCCACCCTCTCTTCCTTCCCCATTTGTTTTCCATCTCTCTCTTTCTCTTTCTTTCTTACTCTTTACCTTCTCACTGCGGACCACCTCGCCAGGTGAGATGGAAAGAGAGAAGAGGAATGAGAAAGAAAATAAAAGAGAAAGAGAGAGAAGGTACCACTCTACGGACGGTGAAGTGAACGGGGAAGAGGAAGGGCAGGGAAGGGCAGGGAAGGGGGAAAGGGAAAGGAAACGGGCATGGCAGGGCCTTTGCCACCAGCTTGTCGAGACTATACGGACAGTGAGATAGGCGGAGATCGTATCTCCGTGGTTATTAATTAACTGGCGAGAAGGGAAGGCCCCCTTTCATCACCTCGCAAACGATCCTACCTTTGGTAGGTCTTGCTCTTGCTCTAGCCTTAGGATATACCGAAACTACTTCAACCAATATCTTCTCTACAAACGTAGTTTTTATTATCAAACTTTCGTCATCATATAGGTTATAGAATTTTGTTAGAAAATACGTTACTTGATTCTTAACAAAATATTATTATTTCATTTTAAAATTGTATTCGTGTTGTTTTTATCGATAATGATCACGCGAAGGAATTACGTTTTTTTCTTCTTCTTCTTCTTTTTGTTATACTTTGGGTACAAATATAATTTTGTTCATCGACGAAAGAAGAAGAAGAAGAAGAAGAAGAATTAGTAGTGGGAAGAGTTAATTTAGAGATTGTTCAATCATTTTGTTATTCTTTTTTCCTGTGTTGTTTTCTTGTTTGAAGGGTTAATAATTATACTTTTTAGGTTCAAAGGACTTACCCATTGATGGAGGTGCGACTGATGAACCAAGAGAGGGCCGATCTCGCCAACGAATGCCAAGCTTGCAGTGGTAAAGATTCAGACCTCTCGGTGGATCTCATCAAGAAAATCTCGGTGGCTTCATCCGGCTGGTCCCGGCAGGGACCCGCACCCAATGGAACCCATAGCTTTAGCAAATCGTCTCGGATCTTGCTGCTGTCTACCTTGTACCACTGCGAAGAAACATCAACGTCATTCGATTCTCGTTCCCTTTCACTTCGTTCTTCTCTTTATGTTTATTTAAATTTCTTTTTTTTTTAGCAAGGATTATTCAAAAAAAATAAAATATATTTTTATTATACAATTATTTTAATTTCTATTTTTTTATTTGTAAATGAATTAAATGTTCGAAGAGATTCGTATAATAATTATTCTTGGAGGTAGACAAGTCCAATATGTTTGATTATGGCCATCAGGGGATACACGCAAAAAAAAAAAAGACAAAAGAATAAATAAACCAAAAATCATGAAATAAATGTGAAAGCAAATTTTTCGTATCGCAATTGAACATGACAAAAAGTGACAACACAAAATGAACATAAAATAATATCTGATAATCATTTTAGTCTTACGAACGTGTCAGACCTGTCTGCTTTCTAGAGTTTCAGGAATAATAATATCTCATCGTTATATCGACTTTGATAACGTCGATATTTTCTTAGACGAGACACCTTTTCGTAGTGAGAGACGTCGCGAAGGCAATTACGTGTATCTTTCTCTCTCAAGCATCAGCACAAGCACAAGCAGCAGTACCAGCAGCAACAGCAACAGCAGTCTACTCGAAAGGAGCATCAAGCTGTTCAAGAAAGAGAGAGACAGATATCCGATTTCACCGTCAGCTTCCGAGAATGAGAACCAATTACTTGGCCGGAGGCATTAAGGAATCGATCTAATTTGCGCGGGGTAAGCTTCTCTTCTCTCTTAATGGCGCGAGCCGCACGATGAAATTATACGAAAATGTAATCAAGGGGCTTTTTGTCTCGTTTCGCTTCGAGGGCAGGGGCGTAATTAGGAATGCTTTTGCGCCTCGCGACGGGGGACACTTGTTGCTCTTTCTCTTTTTCTTTTACCTCTTCTTCTTCTTCTTCTTTTTTTATTTTTGTTTCGTTTCTTTTTTTTCTTTTTATATCTTCTTTCATGTCTTTCGTCTTGCCGCGCGTGTCCTTCTTCGTGGCCATTCACAGACAGGGAACGTCTGAAGGTGGAAGGTAAAAGGATGAATGAAAAAAAATTAGAAGAAGAAGAAGGGAAAGAGGAGGAGGAGGAAGAGGAGGAGGAAGAAGAAGGAGCAGGCCACAGAAGGAGAGTAATTAACACCATGGCCGGCCAGGTGCACCGGTCTAAGAAGTCGTTTATGGGTCGCTCGGCAGCGCTAAGCCCGCCACGCCAAGCCACCGACCATCAATTAGATTCTCTAATTAAAACAGTCCGCCTCTGCAGACCACGGAGAATTAACTGTGACGAATGCGATACTCCGATTGGTCGACAATCCACTACGAGAAACGTCCTGTCGATTGCTTTCTCTTATTCTCTCTCTCTCGTTTCTTTTTTATTTTATGTGTTTTTTGTTTTAATTTAATTATAAGATCAAATCGATAGATAATAGGTAATCGTAATGCTTTTCCTTCCTAGTACGGTTAAAAAAGAAAAAAAAAAAAGAAATTGATTAAAACATTTCCGCGTGATTATTATTCGTCTAATTAATGTTATATTGATCGTTCGTATTCTTTATTATTCTATTATTATTTTTGTTGTTGTACTTAATTAATCGTCTACGTGGGAGGAAAGGAAGCAATAAAAGAAAAGAAATTGATTAAAAAAAAATTTCCAATCGGATTCGTCTCTGATTGAAATTGACAATGAAAAATACTCTCTTGTTAGATGATAGGAGAGAGAAGACTCAGGAATCTTGATTTTTTCGTCGATCCGATCGATGGTAGTAATAGTTTGAAGATAAAAAGATCTCCCAACGGGGAAGCAAAAGGATTTTAATTACGAACGGCAGCGTGTCGCTAATTCCAGCCTGTCTTCCAGGTCTTCTCTCCTCTATCGTTCGTCGCACCTTGATTCGATGTTTTCGCCATTTTTTGTTTGTTTTGTTTATTCTCTCTCTCTTTCTCTTTCTCTCTTTCTTTCTCTCATGGAGAATTACAAATGGCTACCGACGTGGTCGCGCGCTGCCGGACAGCATTCCTCTTTCTGTCATTAGTGGCAACTTTCCGTGGCGCTGAGTAACGAAAGAAAGAAAGAAAGAAAGAAAGAGAGAGAGAGAAAGAGAGAGGGTGAGAAGGGAAGAAATCGTTTTGTAAGAAGAGAAAACGAGAGAGACAATCTCAACGTCTTTACGCACCTTCCTTCTTATAGTGTTCATATAGAAACGTATGTGTATGTGTGTATGTGTGTATAGTCTTCTCTCGTCCGATCCTCTCGCACTCTCGTAGAACGAGTAGCCAACTCGGAAATCACAGCCATCTAAATCAACGTCTCTCACCGGACTCCGACGACTTCGCTTCAAATGACTACCGATCTTTGCGTAGCTTCTCACTTTACTCTTCTGTCCCTCACGATGCGACAAGTTTAACTTCGCACCGATGCGATCAATTTCTTCTCATTTCTGTTAGAGCAATCTCAATGAAAGAATTTTTATTTATTAGACTTTATTGGAAAAAAGAAAAAAAAACAGCAATACGATCAATTTAAAACTTTACAAATTTTATCATCGTAATTTGCTTAACGCGTTTTTACCGTGGTTTTCATTCTTTTTAATTCACATACATTTAATTAAATAATATTTTTAGATCGATAGACAAATCGAGAATATAAAACACGTGTACAATTATTATAATTATATTTTGCATTCGTTTTACTTTTTTATATATATAAGATAACGGGTCGTGCGCGTATTACCTTACACAGTTGTCGTACTTGAAATTATTTTCAAAAAATTTGTATCGAAACACTTTGATACTCTACAGGTTACGATATATAAGTTACCGAATTCTTTTATTTTTGTTTTTTTCCATATAAAACATATATTTATCGTATAAGAAAGATCTCGAGAGAATGTATAACCGCGTTGGATACATAAAATAATTATTCTACCATAGTATTTTTTTTTTTAAAAAAAGTCAACAGATAGAGAGAATCATCGAGCCATCTAAGGAGCGCGAAGAAACCAGTCGTAAGGAACGAAAGAGGAGAATTGTGGATAAAAGGGGGAGGATAAAGATGAGGAAGAGCATGAACAGTAAAAGAAGGTGGAAGAAGAGGAGAAAGAGGAGAAGACGGTGTGGGGGGAGGGGGGATGGTGGTGGTGGAAGACGACGAGGACGAACGATCGACTTTTATCCCGAGATCGGACGAGTTCTTGCCGTGTTGCAAATAGTTACGTTTCGGTGGATCAAGAGCACGTTTCATGAATAACGAGTTCGTTAGGATTTCTAACATTTCAAACGCATCTTATCTTGGATGCGAACGAAAGAAACGAGGGTTCCGGTCCCTCTATGTCGTTCGTGTGGAGAACGCGAAGAGAACTCGCTCGAATATTAAATCATCCTATAAAGAGAAAGAGAGAGAGAGAGAGAGAACTATAGTTATATATATCCGAAGCTTTGTTCCTTCTTTTTAATATATATGTATATATGTATGCATGTACATACATACATAATCGATCGTAGAGTATACATATGTTCGATGTCTTCCATACGACACGAAATAAATCATGATTTTTTTTTCTTCTTCTTCTTCTTCTTCTTCTTCTTCTCCGTATATTTGTGTGTGTACGTAATTTTTGTATTTATCTAATTTTTTATTTTAATTATTGGTAGCTTAATTTTTACTCTTACAATTTATACTCTTTCTTTTTTTTATATAAATATACTTAATATATTATATCATATTAATATATATATATATATATATATATTAGGGATTTATTATGAAATATACGCGAATGGAATGGTAAATTTTAAACCTAAAGAAATAATTAAATTAAAAAAAAAGTAAAATAAACGTCCTTTTGTTGTTGTTATTAAAACTCATAAACTTGCATATATTTTTTATTATCGAGATAGTTCAATTTTGTGTCGAGTATTAAATTCTATATTGAAAATTTACTTTGAAATCTATTCACTCTCCGTACTTCGAAAGTAAAAATTGTTACTTACGTGTCGTTTGGGGATTTTCTTTTCTCTCGAAAGATATTACGATTAATTATTAACGAAACAAAGTTTTGGTTAACATAAATGGGAAGGAAAAAAAACAAAATATTATTACTAACCTACAATTTTTCGTTGTTTTATTTTGGGGACGTTTCGAGGAATAGGCACGTGTAAACTGAGAGCATAAAATGGCTAAGTCGTTTTTTTTTTTTTTTTTTTTTAAAAAAGAACGACGTCTTTGGAGTTTATGCTTTCCGCGAGGAATACTGGGGATGTTTGGTCGGTCGTACGTCGAGCTCTTTGGATTCCAAAGCCGTGTAGGATCGCGAGTCAAACGCATTCTCTTCTTCCTTAGGCCATTATGCTATTGCTGCGGGTGGTGCCGAGTGTGAAACGACGATAGTCTTGTTAGGGGGTTGGAAAATGAGATTCGACGTTCTCGTATAAAAAAAGGCTTCATCGAATACGATTCAAATATGATTTTCAATTCGTTTTGATCATCACCATCATCATCATTGATAATATCATTTCTACTAAAAATTTACTTCTAGGTTATATTCGAAATTTTCTATCTAATTTAATTAATGTTCTTTTTCCCTTTTTTTGTTTTTTTTTTGTTGATCACATACACGTAAGCGAGTTATTCATAATTTTACTCTAAACAACAATATGAAATCATACGCTCATTTGTGTTACATAAATTGGAGATTTAATAAAATATTTACTATTTCGAATTGAATTATTTAAATTAAAAGAAAAGAAAATGATAAAGAAGTGCATGGCACGTGAAATAATTTAAAAAAAAATTAAATACAAAAGCAAATTACTTCTCAAACATCCCCTAGAGTTTCACAATACTAAAACTCAAACAAAGTTAAGATCCTACAAAAGATTTGGATTATCCAGCATTAACGTTGTAATAAGAAAGAAAGAAAAGTAAGAAGAAAAAAAAAGAAAAGAATATAATTCAAAGAGAAAATAAAGGAAGAAAAGAGAGAGAGAATAAAAAAAAA